ACGATTCTCCTTGGGCCTCTTTTACTGGGTGGGAAGACGGTATCATTGCTTTCTTTCCTTCCAATCCACATGTGGCCTTCTGTTGAGGGAGGGCAGGTCCTGATGTCCACTGTTTTTTGGAGGCTCACGTCTTGAGCGACCTCGCATGCACATGGTGGGGGCCTTTTGTCAGGGCGCATATAGCGAGTGGCCATGTGCTTGTGGGCTGTCAGGCGATTCGTTTTCAGTGGAACTCTCCCTCCTCCACCCTCTCTCTCCCCTTCCCCTGCTTTTTCTCTCCTCCTCCCCTGCTTTCCTCTCCTCCCCTCCTGCTTTCTCTCCTCCCCATCTTTCCACCCCAGGATTGTTCGTAATTTCCCAGATGAAGAATCGGCCATGATCTCATCGCGGTGGGTGCATCATTACGTAACACTTTCACCTTGTCATTTGGGGATCCCGTGGGGTGGGAGCCGCTGCCTTATGCACCCCCAGGCTCCTGCATTCATTGCTGATTTTCTCATTCTGTTTTTCTTCTATCCTCCTTCCTGGTTTCTAACTTCAAGGTTTTACTGTTTCTTCCCCCTGTTTCATGATTCCCGCCTTTACTGTACCTGCCAAGCAGAAATGAATCCTTCTGTCTCACCAGAAATCAGAGCAGGGGATGGTCTGCCAGATTTTAGTGGATTCAGCTAAGTTTTAGTGGGCTCCCTGGAGATTTGAAATCCTGTTAAAACAGAGGCCTTTTCCTCAGCTCGAAAATCTCCCAGTTTGGATAATGTGACAGGTGTCCTCTGTAGTACACACTGATCCATGCATGGTGTATCTGGACCATTAGCCCTTACTGGTGGGTGTGTGGCCACACGTCTGTGCTGGGCAGATCTTGAGGTAGCCAGCTAATGTTATCACTGTAACATGATGTAATGATGGCCAAGACCTCAACTTCCCAATTCCTTAGCTCTCAGGAGCATCTGCATAGGACATGTCATTGTGTATGTAGGATGTTTCAAACAAAAGCCCCCTGGTTTTAAGCCCTTATGTGGTCTCCTAGCCCTGGGAACTGGGCTGGTCACTGAGGAGCTGTAGGGTGGCTGTTGCCCCCCTGGCATAGTGCCCAGATTAGAGCCGGTGAGGTGTTGACCCTTTGCTCATAGTCAGGTCTGAGCCCCCTGAACTGTGCCACTGGGGAAGAAAAAAGATGAGAGGAAAGATCCTTTCTTTAGAGGTTGGAGCAGAGTGAGCTCAGTGGCCCAGTGGAAGGCAGGCTAGAGACAGCCCAAGGACCATCTTTGCCCACTGGCTGCCTGGGAAAGCAAAGGTAGCTCGGCACTGGGAAGATTCTCATCTCCTCTCCTCCCACCCCTAGCATCCAAGTCCTCTTGTTGGGCCCTGACCCATGCTGAGGCACCTTTATGGCCTTGATAGCATCTCCCCAGAAGGGAGGCTGCCCCTCTAACATTGACAAGTCTGGGGCTTAGAGTATGATGGGAAGTGGGAAGCTAGGGGAGCATTTGCTTCATAGTTTCGGAGATATTGAGTAACGAGTCTGCTTTGTATACAATCAAGAGTTGCCTAGGACCGGGCCTCTCAGAATTTCACGTGCATGTGAATCACTGGGGATTTTGTCCTTTTGGATTCTGACTTTGGAGGTCTGGGGCGGGATTCTGCATCTCTTGTGAGTTCTTAGGTGGTGCTGGTGCTGCTGGTCCATAAGCCAACCACCCTTTGAGTAACAAGAGCCTGCACAGTTCCCTAGGCCCTCTGTACCATCTGAATTAGCCCATCAGTTTGTATGTGCTTTTGATGTGCTTGAGGGGACTTGAAAAAAATGTAAGTAGGTAACATATTCCCTTTATTATCTTGTCTGTAAACTAAGTGGTTATATTAACTCTTCATGGAGAATGTGAAGATGAAAATAAGTGTAATTGGTAATTTAGAGTGAGACCTAGCTCTAGTTTTAAGAAAATGAAGGGACATTCAGAGGTCATGTGATCCAGGCCTCAGCTCGGTGCTGCTTGAGAGAACTTAGGAAATGAGAAGGTTTTCATGAGGAGGAACCCTGTGCCACTATGGCACAGCAGTTTCTAGAAGGGCTGTTACCCTGTGCATCACCAGGTGAGAAGGGCTGTGAACTTGGACTCTGGGTGCCATCTATCTGTGGATCTTCTACTTTGTCTTGTCCCACTACGCTTTTTGTTCTTCATTCCTCTTTCCCCGGTGTGAAAGAGAACTTGAAGTGGGATAGGGAGAGGGTTTGGGAGCAGAGGTGGGAAAAAGAATCGCCTTTTAGACTTAGTCTTGCTTCTTTTTTTCTTGCCTTGCAGAGTTATTTTTGATGTTCCACGATTCCCCACCAGCCAATCCAAGCATTTCCTCCTGGGACCCCCTCCATGTTCAGGGTCTAAGACCCAGAATGAGTTTCTCCAGCCAGATGGTCACTTTATGGAAAGGATGCAGGGTCCCCCAGGCCCTTCTGCTAGCCCAGCAGCGGCTGGGGTCTGGCTGCTTTCAGAGACACTACACTTCCCATGCAGACTCAGATGCCAACTCAAAGTGCCTTAGCCCAGGTTCCTGGGCTCCTGCTGCCCCCTCAGGACCCCAGCTAACCTCAGAACAACTAACTCATGTGGACTCGGAAGGACGGGCAGCTATGGTAGATGTGGGCAGGAAGCCAGACACAGAGCGGGTGGCTGTAGCTTCAGCCGTGGTCCTCCTGGGGCCTGTAGCCTTCAAGCTTGTCCAGCAGAACCAGCTCAAGAAAGGAGATGCCCTGGTGGTGGCCCAGCTGGCTGGAATCCAGGCAGCCAAGGTGACCAGCCAGCTGATCCCTCTGTGCCACCACGTGGCCCTGAGTCATGTCCAGGTGCAGCTGGAGCTGGACAGCACACGCCATGCCGTGAGGATCCAGGCATCTTGCCGGGCTCGGGGGCCCACCGGGGTGGAGATGGAGGCCCTGACCGCTGCTGCAGTGGCCGCCCTCAGCCTGTATGACATGTGCAAGGCTGTCAGCAGGGACATTGTATTGGAAGAGATCAAGCTCATTAGCAAGACTGGCGGTCAGCGGGGGGACTTCCATCGGGCTTAGCGCCTGCCCTTCTTACCCATGGCCCACCCAGACCTGGAGCTGGGATGCAATTTAGGCTGAAGGAAAGATGTCAGGTTCCTTTAATCACAGTCACTGTTTACCTTGAGCAGTAAATCCGAAGTCAGCCTGCTCTACTACTAACAGGCCTGCTACTAGATGATCTCTAATCATCTAGGTGGGGCTTCCTTTCTATAGGGAGGATACCAGCAGGCTCTTAAGCCTTCCAGGACACTAAGGTCATGGGAGCAGGACTACAACAAGCAATGCTGGATAACTGAGAAATCATGTTCTTTGTGGACTATTTCAGACAACCAGTTTCCGACAGTCCAGCCCAGAACTTTTCCTTCTCCTTTTGGGTTCTCTCTTCTCCTACTTTCCTGGGGAGAGATTAAGGGCTTATTAAGCAGAGGGGCCCACTTTGAGGAGAGCAAAGCACAAGTTTGCCTGAGGAATGCATCCCAACTTCTCCCCAGCAGCTCTGCCTCCCTGTCTGTGAAGCTGCAGCCCTGCCCCGTCCTGACTTCATCTCTCCTTCTGCCCAAGTCTGTGTCCCATCAGACTTGCTCAGCTTAACAGTTGCCCGGTCCTGCTGGTCCCCTTTCCTCAGGCCTCCCTCCTCTGAAACAGGATGTGCACACGTGGGCCACAGCCCCAAGGACTCCTCCTGGACTACACAGCCCACACCTGGCCCTGCTCACGGCTGTTCCACCCACCCCTCTTCATTCTGGAGCATACCAGGGAAAGAAGAGTTGACGATAGATTGCCTTCACCCTCACAGCGCACAAATAAAGCTACGATGCCAACTTCTTTGCAGACACAAGAATGAAGACTGTGTGTGGGTAGGGCACTGGGCTGCTGCAGTTTCATGGGGAAGGGTGCACCTATCAACCCTATCCCAAGACACATTTCCCTGGGGGAAGAAGAGGAGGGACCTGGAAAGGCCTAAGGGCATATTCTCTGTATAGCCCCACTGTAGGAGAATAAAGTGGAGTGGGGAGTGGGGGGCGGGGGGGGGGCATAGAAATGGACCATCTAAGGGAAACTTTGTCAGGTGGTGGCCAGGGGTGTTCAAAGCTCATTGCTTGCATCACCAGCTATTAGAGATCAGAGAGGGCAATTAGAGGGTCCTGGTTCTCACATCCCCACACACACTGTTCTGGCCTGCTGGGCTCTCTAACTTGGTTGGATGTCTGAGTCCTCAGTGGTGCCCCCTGCCTGCCTCCCCTCTGCCCTATCCCAAGGTGTGCTGGCAAATGTTTAACAACCAGCTCTCTGGAAAAGACAATTTCTGTGATATAAACACTCCCATGTTGAATAATTTCAAGCTACCAATATGTCAAATGGCTTGCAAAATTCCATTCCTGAAAATGTAAACAATTGGTTCTCACAGAGCTGGTACAAGCTGGCTCCAGCACACCACCCCCAGCCCATCCCAGATCCCCTCATAGGAAGAAGGCACCAGTTTAAAGGCAGACGGGGTAGGGATGGTATGAATTTAATATTTTTTAGTATTACAATATATTCTTATAAAAAAGGTGCAAGTGAAAAAGGACACTGCAGATTTTGTCCATTAGCCTCATTTGTCATCTGAGGCAGCTGGTGAGAATAGCCTTGGCATGAAGGCATCCCTGGTAGAGGTCGGGGGAGATGGTCACAGCTCCCCAGTTGGTGGAAATGGGATGGGAGTAGGGAGAGGCTGGACCAGACCTTTCCCCATTCACCTGGAGAATTTTCTTCTCCCACTGCCCTAAACACTTGATTTCCATCACAGGGGAGAAATGCTGCTGAGAAGGTTGTGTTAGGTTGACGATGAATTTTACGTTGGCCACAAAATTAGCTGGAGAAACTTATCTAAAGGTGGCAGGAGCGGTAAGGAAGGGCATGAAAAAAGCAAGACCAAGAAACATTAAGAGGCTAAAACATTTAACATATTAAGGACCAGCTCAGCAATCCCCATTGGGCACCAGCCCCTTCTTACTCAGTTGAGTATGAGTCTGTGGTCCAAGGCACTGGAGATCTGGCTACAGTGGCATCTAGCACTAGAGCCACTGGCCAGATCTAGAAAATAAATAGAAAAATATCTTTTAGAGTGAGAAGGCTGGGCTCTGGAACAACATATTTGTGTCCTCTGTCAACAGTTGAACCAAATTCTGCTTTTCTGAAGATCAAATGTGTCTTGAACAGCTTCCATAGTCCCTGTCTTCTCAGGTGTGTATCCAGTCTTCCATGGTGGGTGGGAATGCCAGACATGCTTGTGGAGCCATCCCCTGTTCCCTGCCCCTTTGGGGGGTTAGGTTGACATCAGCCTGGCCGGTTTGGGAGAGGACTTTTAGAGGCCTCACCCACAACCTCCCATCTTCCCCAACACCTGTCTTGCAGTGGGAGCTCTTGGGGGTGCAGATGGGTATAGCCAAACTCTGTGCAGCTGTTCTGCCTGGAAGCCTTTATCTTGCCCTCACCTGGGTTCCAGGATGGCCTCTTCACACCTGTGTCAGCCAGGCTTGCACTTGCTCAGATCCCTCCCACCAGAACACACGCGCCACCCGCCCCCTCAAACCAACGCACATGCTGGGCTCGCCAACCCTGTGTTTCTTCTCCCACAGCTACACTACGGTCCCAGCCCCAGGAGTCTGATGCAGGTGAAAGGCAGAAGATAGGCAGCTGAGAGTGGGCCCAGCTCACCAGTCTCCACTGGCAATAACCCGGAGCCAGGGATTAGGTTGGAAAGTGAGAAACACAGGGAAGGGCAGAAGGGCCAAGAGCTGGTCGATGGTAGAGGTCAGGCAGGGCCAGTCTCACAGAGGATGAAAGGCCAACTCGGAGCGTGGTATTGAAAATAAGAGCCTTGATGGAGTTTTAGAAGAAAAACTGTCTAGATACAGCCATCCATCCCATCCACCAAGGCCAGCACAAGATGGACAAAATGGAAGGTGGGAGTGGATGGGAGGACCGGAAGGAGCCCTTTGCAGGTCAGGCTGAAGAACCAAATTGGGTACCAGAGGTGGGGTGGCCCCCTCTCAGCCTTCCTCCTCCATCCCCAACCCCCCAGTTCCCTTGCCTGCTCTGCTGTTCGCCCCATCCGAACACCTGAGAGGAGGGGATACCCTTAGAGACAGCATGTTAATGCGGAGGGCAGCTCTGGCCCACAGACTTCTCAGGAAGCAACTCTCCAACGCCAGTGGACACATGGTTCCAAGTGGCCACCTGCAGGCTGAACAGAGGCCGCTGTGGCTTCTGCCTTGAGGCTGGTGTTACAGAAGGGGTGGGAAGGCCTGAGCAATTTATATTAAATAGAGAGCTGTGGGATGGAGCTAAGCATTCAAGTGCTGCCCTCTGCTGAGGGGCTATAGGGGACTCCAAGGCAACATTTGAGGTCACTGTCTGGCTTCACAACAATGGCCAGGTGTCCAGGAGGTGGGGACATGGGAGATGCCCAAGGCATGAGGTGTGGTGATGAATGAGGTCTTTCTTGAGCCCCTCGCCAGATTCATCAAGCACCTGGTAGTAAGCCATAGCTGTGGAAACCCAAGGTGAGTCTTCTAGGATTGTGGATTAGTAGACAGGATGGCAGTGAGGGTAGAGAAGGAAGGGAGAGAGACTTAAGATATACAGGGAGAGGCCAGAGGACCTGGGAAACAGACATTGTTACTCTGTCCTGATGTCTTTGGTCCCTGCATCATCCTTCCAACATTGACTGTTTTCTGGAACCTACCAGAGCTGATCTAACTAGAATATATAATGCCTCCTCTGTTTCCGTTCAAGAGGAAAGTTTGCCCCTAGGTCAATGTTCTGTTGAGCCTCCCTTTGAGAGACAGGAGTCTGGATTCCCTCACCAGATTCCCTCTCAGGGGCTCCCTCCATCATGCTGCACAGGAAATCTGGACAAGGCTGTGGACCTCTCCAGTCTAGATCTGGAACTGTTCTGTGCTAGCACATGGGTGCCCATGGTAGGGGATGGGGAACAGGGCCCCTTCAGCCTGGGGTTAGCTGGCCCGAGGCCTTCCAGGGATGTCTAAGTCAGCCTCAGAATAATCCCTAGGGCCAGGGCGCAGAAGGAATCATGTGAAGGAGCTGAGAGGAGCCCCTTAAGGTAAGCGTGGGGAGTACACCTGGTCCAGCCACACACAGCCCCCCACCCCAGGACCCAGCCCAGGGCTCTAAACCAAGCACCAAATGGCTTAAATATCACCACCTACTCCACTCAGCCCCATTCTCACCCATCCCTGTCTCCCGGCCTCCTGTGTGGCCAGTTCCCCAGGTCAATAATTTAGCCGGTTTATTGCCCGCTCCCGGGTGACTTCCAGGGCCTGGCTCCCTGATCGCTTGCGGCTGCGCTTGAGCTTGCATAAGTCCTTGTCGAAGACCTCCCCAGAGCGCAGAGCTGACACCAGGTCATCGAACTCGCCTCCCTCCTCCAGCGAGCTGCCCGCAGCCAGGACCTTCCGCTGCCGCTGCCACCGCTCACGCTCCCTCTGCTCCTTCAGCTGCGGGCGGGGGGCCAGAGGTAGGAACCCTCTCAGGGAGAGGCACTGAGGCCAGGGAAGCCCCCCAGCCCTGGGCTAACTCCTAGGCCATGGTCATGCTGCCTGCCTGTATCTGTTCGCCCCGCTTTCCTCCTGCCTAGGACATACAGGCTCCCCGCCTCACACCATTCTCTTCCCTCAGGCTGGGAAGAAGTTTCTCTCTCCTGGGGCTGACATCCAACCCCTATGATGTTCCTCAGTCCCTGCCTTCCTCCCACACACCCTAGTTTGGGGGTGCTCTTCCCAGGTAGCACCCATCTCCCCTCAGTCCCAGGCCCATCACGGCCCCTCACCATGGCTTCCATGCGCGCCCGCCGCTCCTCCTCCTCCTTCCTCCTCCTCATGGCCTCTAGATCCTGCCGGGCCTCTGAGAAGGCCTGCAAGAAGGTGTCAAAGATGCCAAAGAATTCGTCCGGCTGCATCTTGCTGTCATGCTCCCCAAAGTGCATCAAGGCCTTGGCGAACTGTCAAAGGAGAGAACAGGGTTGGTGGAGAGTGCCTGGAGCATGCTGGGCTCAGCCCTTGAGGTTAGCTGGGTTCTAGCCAGAGCAGAACCCAGTGCAAGGCTGGGGACTGTTGGCACAGGGGGCAGGGCTGGAAGAGGCGAGAAGACACCCCCATTATCATCGGGATCAGAGACAAGGCTAAGGAGAAACAGGTAAAGAGTTGGGTTCACTCACAGTCCACCTTACAGCCGCCCCTGAGCCTGTAAGGGGTAGGCATGAGATCAGGGGTATAGACCTTGGGAAGCCCTTCCTGAGGTCAGGAAGAGCCTGGCAGAACTCAGAACTTCAGAGATCCTCTAGTTATCAGGTGAATAACCCCTCTGTGCCACAGCTTCCTCCTCTGTAAAATGGGAATAATAGAATCTACATCATAGTGGTGTTGGGGAGTTAGATGAGTTGGTGGCTATAAAGGAGTAGCTATACTTATATATGCCAGGCACTATTCTGACTTACTGAGAGCTACCATTGTTAATTCAACCCACTCAGTATCCTCTAAGAAAGATCTCATTACTCAAAGTGTGCTTCATGGACTAGCAGCAGGTTCACCTCCTGTTGGAAACGCAGAATCTCAGAGCCCAGGCCTCCTAAATGAGAATCCGTGTTTTAATAAGACCCCCATACATGAGGTCTATGGGCATGTTAGGGTGAGAAGCAGATAGAGGCAGAGTAATCATGTCCACCGCTAAGCTGTGGTGTCAGAGTCTAACCCAGTGCTATCACTTACAGCTGGGCAATCTTGGGCAAGTTACTTAGCATCTCTGATTTTAGTGTTCATATCTGTCAAGTGGGAACTAAAACACTTAACATGATGCCTGATAGCTGATAAATGGACCATGATCTTTGCGGTATGTGGTTATCATGGCTTGTCTTGTTTAGAGTGAGGAGATGGTTTTCTCTCAAAGCTCTGTAACTCTGGGTTGGTCCCTCCTGGGCTGTCAGTGGTAGGAATGGGTGATGGAGCTTGTTTAGATAAGGCTGGGTTGGCAAGCAGTGGGGGTTGGGGCACCCTTACCTTGTCCCTGGCCTCATTTAGCTGGTCCTCCAGCTCTGAGAAGCTGAAGCTGGACACCGTGATGAAGTCGCTCATGACGGGGACAAACTTGTCATTAGGCTCCCGCACCTGGCGCCTCTGATACTCCAGCTCCTGAGGAGGGAGGGCGAAGTGCTGCTTAGACTGGTGCCAAGATGAGAGTCGGGTGCAGGGGTCACCACGTCTCCCATCCTTCTTGTCACTCACAGGACACTGAGCCCTTTGGAAGAGGGAACACCCTGCGTCTCAAAGTTCTAAGGATGGCAAAGACTATGAGCATTAGCAGCCAGCCCACCCTGCTGTCTTTCTTTCTGTAGAGCACAGACCCAACGTGTGACCTGGGGCCAGCAGCATCACCTGGGAAATTATGAGAAATACAGACTCTCAGACCCACAAGATCAGAAGCTGCATTTTAACAAGACTCATCGTTACAAGACTTCAGGTGAGTCACGCACAAATTAGAGACATTTTCCTAAAGCTCCCAGCTGATTCAGAGGCTGCTGGCCTATGGATCACACTTTGAGCAGCACTTAAAAGGCCTATACAATTGTAAATTTGGAAGTCATCTTCCCCCACCACAGTGGCAACAAAATGTTCTTTCTCATCCTTAATCTGTATCTCAAATCCATTCTCCCCTTACCCACTGCCTCTCTCCACAGTGAAGATGGGAAGGGTCTCTTGTTCCTAGGTTTGGGGGACCTGTGTGGTCCCCATACTGGGCCAGTCTGGCTCACTTGCCCACTACTCTACTGGTGTTTTCTGGAAGGCTCGGGCCAGAGATAGTATCAGCCGAGAAGCCATCAGAACAGGAATGGTGGGAACAAGAGACCTGGGTCCTCCACCGGCCCAGGAAAGAGGCAGAGAGACGTAAGGAAGAACCTTCTGAGGACATCGGTCCCACTGCCACATTGTGTGCCTCCTGCCCCTAGCTGGCAGTCAAGGGATGAGGATTCTCTTTGCCATGCACTTGAATCCAGTGTAGGCATCGGTCAGATGTATGGTTCATTCCACTCCACTGCCAAATAAACACCAAGTTGGACAGTAACATAGGTATAGTCTCAGGTGACCCCTTTTAAAAGGTTCAGACTTAAGCCCCAGTAATCCAATTATCTTTTGGGAGGGCTGACCCTGTGCTAGAAGCTGTACCCACTGTGCCTGTTGTTTTTCACCCCTGTGTAGGAGCTTAGGGTGCAGTGATGAACAGTGTTTGCCGACAGCAGCCCTCACCCAGGTAGGCACTGACGAGGTACTCACCACCTCCACTGCTCTCAGGCCCCTCCTGAGGTTGCCCACCTCCTTCTCCAGCTCTGCTAGGCTGTGAGGAGACACAGAGGGAGGGGAATGAGGACCATCACCTCCTGCCTTGAGGTGCTAAGGCTGATTCAGGAAGAGGGCAGAGCCAAGCACGGTGGCCTGGGAGTCGGTGAGCCTGGGTTCCAGCCCTGGTGTGGCCACTGATGGCCCTGACAAAGCACCTCCCCTTCGTGCCTCTGTCTGTGCATCTATAAATTAACAAGGTGAAACCTGCATTCTATAGATCTTTCCAGGTCAGAAATGTCATGCTGCAATATGAGAACATTTCCAACCTGTGGCTTCTGGCTTAGACTATTTATTTTTATTACTACCAGGTAATGCTTATGAGCTCTTTATGTGATCCTGCAAGCAATAGCATTCGATACCAGTGAGCCATGTACCACTATGTTTCTAGTTTTCCTGGAGATGACATCTATCACCTAAATGTTCAGGTCTAATTTCTTGCCTAGCAGATGCTGTTGAGGCCCCACCCACATTTCCTTGGACTATCCATTGTAGGGCATGGCCCCAACTCTTCTGACTGTATGCACACTCTCTTTTTGAGGCCAAGCTCCTTCCACCTGTACCTGTGGCCAGAGAGTTATTCCCTGCCCCTGCAGAGCCCCTCAGCCAACTTACTGAGAGGACATGCTGTCTGATTGCCCCAGCAACCTTGCCCTTCAGGTGGGAAAACTGAAGTAAGTATTCCACACAGTTTCCCAGAATTCCTCATGGGGTTAAGCACCAATTGCCGTGAGTGGTAACTGGCGTAATAATGTTTGTTACTGGCATTCTTTCTATCTCTGGCTCATTTCCCCATTCTTCTACTGGTATTTTCTGGAAGCATCTCTGAAATAAGGATTTAAGAGCAAATTGTCTTTGTTTGGTTTTCCCGGAAGCAGACCCTGAGACAGGATAGGTAGTCAAGGAAGTGAGCATGTTCTCAGAACACAGCAACTGTGGTGGTGCCCATACAGTCAGCACAATAAACCTCAGCATTCGCATTGTAATGAGCTCATTCAAGCAAAGCTATCTGCAGTAGGGACTTTCCCCTCTAGAAAGCATGCGCATTTTGATTTTACCTATCCTCATACTGGCCCTTTGCTCATTATATAAGAGTGAAAAAAAAACACACCCCTAGGTGGAAATGTAAGATGCTAATGAGACATGCAATATATGAAAAAGCACGCATAGCTACTACACATGTGCACACAGAGGCCCACTCAGAGCCTGCTTCCTAATAACAGTTCTTCCCACCTCCTTATGAATTATCATGTAAGTCTCCCATAATGGGAGTCTTCCTAGTGCCGGTCTTGGCTGTCTCATCCTTACAAGAAGCCCGCCCTGAATGCTCTCTCTCTCTCTCATGGTGTCCTGTCTATTCTGCACCTAACTTACAAGATATTCTTCTTGTTTTGCAATACATTGTTCTATGCTATACCCCCTTTGCTGTGTGTCTGTTTAAATTCTTTTAAACTCAGAAGACAAGAACTGAGGTCTCACATCAGCCATCATCAAGCCCAGAGTAGACCCCAAAAGAGGAAAGTAAGACAAGAATGAGGGTCATGATGGGGAGAAGGAAGTCTTGGAGAGGCCCCTCACTTGACTTTGGCAGCTTCTGGAAGATGCTGCAGCTCTGAAGGCATGTTCAGAATATCAGGAAAATGCTTCTCCAGGATCATGATCAGGTAATGGAGCAGAGAGATGTTTCTGTGGACGAAAGTCAGGTCAGTGGTAAGTGACAGAGGAAACTGGGCACGAGGGTCAGAGGGAAACTAGGATGGGGTGTTAAGAGAAAGGGGTGATGAGTCTTAGGATGTGCCCGTCCTAATAGAGGGAGGATGTGAGAGGCCAGGGTAGGGTGAGATAGAGGCCAAGGAAGTGGCCAGGAAGGGAGGTCCTCACCTGTCGATGCTGGACTTGGTGTCAGCAATCTTGTTGAGGCTGGCCACCCGGAACCCGTAGGCGCCCCCACGCTGCCCCTTGTTCATGAAGTTGCCTATGGCTAGGATGACCTCTAGCATCTGCCTTAGACGCTTGCTGCGGACCAGCTCCCGGGAGGCCAACAGGATGGCTGGGAGAGGAAGCACAGGTCAGAGCCCTGCATGGGCTAGGCAGGGCAGTGGTTCCCATTGCACCCCAGGAAGATACCACCACAAAGTTCAGAAAAGGGGCTGTCAAATGTCTTCAACTCTCAGTGAGGCAGAGATTATACCCACTGCTCAGCAGAACCATCGATTTCACATTCACCCACCTCCAGGGGAAGCAGACACTTTCACTAAGGCCAATTCACCAGACACCCCATTTGTAGGACATGCCAACTCTTCGTAAGAAGGTAATTTCAGAAGATCTTTTCTTACATGTACTTAAAGATTATTAAGAAGGCCGGGTGCAGTGGCTCACGCCTGTAATCCCAGCACTTTGGGAGGCTGAGGCAGGGAGATCACTTGAGGTCAGGAGTTCGAGACCAGCCTGGCCAACATGGTGAAACCCCGTCTCTACTAAAAATACAAAAAATTAGTCGGCTGTGGTGGCACGTGCCTATAATCCCAGCTGCTTGAGAAGCTGAAGCAAAAGTGTCACTTGAACCCAAGAGGCTGAGGCTGCAGTGAGCCAAGACTGTGTCACTGCACTCCAGCCTGGGCAACAGCATGAGACTGTCTCAAAAACAAAAAGAAAAGAAGATTATTCAGATATTCTTTCCATGAATATACTCATAAATATGACACTTTTACTTTTCTAAACCTAGCACTTAACTTCAGTATTTTACCTATTATGGGATTGCTTCTGCCTGTCTTGAAATGCTATATTCTATTGGTTTTTTGGAAAGAAAAAAAAAAATTCATCAACTAAATAACATGTCCTCGATTACAATATTCTATTCTTTTTGTTCTATAAAATAATGGCATGCTTTTCAGTTGATAGTGTCTAAGATTTGATGAAATAAGCTACTTGACGTACTGTTGAATGTCATTTTTAAGATTTTTCCAACCTTTGGGCATCTTAACCATTTTCCCCCAATGCTCTAAATGATATCTTTGCTAGAAATACAAACTAAGCTAACAGTAACCAAAACTTCAATAATTCATTCTGCTGTGTGCGCTCTGGCCCTTCCTCAGCTATGATGTCTTTATGGTGGGTGCGCAGAAGGGGGGCACAAATCCTGAGACTTTCTCTACTAGTTACAGAATATGATTTTTGAATATTCAGTGTGGCAACAAAAAGACCAGATTATCCTGTGATCTATGGCTTATGCCAAACTGAACATGCTTTAAGATGCTGCTAGGAAGATAAAATGAAAATGACTTGGCTAAAAGTTTGTAGAAAGCTTTGAACACAGTTAGAAATAAGTAACTGTTAAAAAGAAGCTGTACCAGCACTTTTGGAGGCTGAGGCAGGCGGATCACCTGAGGTCAGGAGTTTGAGACCAGCCTGGCCAACATGGCGAAACCCTGTCTCTACTGAAAATACAAAAATTAGCCAAGTGTGGTGGCACACACCTATGTAACCCCAGTTACTCAGGAAGCTGAGACGGGAGAATTGCTTGAACCCGGGAGATAGAGGTTGCAGGGAGCCGAGATCACACCACTGCACTCCAGTCTGGGCAACAGAGTGAGACCCCATCTCAAAAAAAAAAAATTGTAAAAATAAATAGTAAGGTTTGTCAGTAGCTTTTAAGTTGAACACGTACATACTCTATAACCTAAAAACCACATTATTCTTGGTGAGTATTTGGGTTGTTTCTAGGTTTTTTAAATTCCAAATCAAATGGGTAAATTATGGTGTATTCATATAATGGAATACAATGCAGAACTGAAAATGAATAACCCACTGCTATACATAACACTAGGGACAACTCACAACCATAATGTTGAGCAGAAGTCACCAGCATGAAATTATTCATACTCTATTATTCCATCCATATAAAGTTCAAAACAGGCCAGACACGGTGGCTCATGCTTACAATCCCAGCACTTTGGGAGGCCGAGGTGGGCAGATCACTTGAGCCCAGGAGTTTGAGACTAGCCTAGGCAACGTGGTGAAACCCTCTCTCTACAAAAATACAAAAATTAGCCAGGCTGGCAGCATGTCCCTGTAGTGCCAGCTACTTGGGAGGCTGAGGTGGGAGGATACCTTGAGCCCAGGAGGCAGAGGTTGCAGTGAGCCAAGATCACACCACTGCCCTCCAGTCTGGGTGACAGGGCAAGACCCTGTCTCAAAAAAAAATAAGTAAAAATTTAAAAAATAAAGTTCAAAACCGCTAAAACTAATCTAGCAGTCAAGATGGGTTTGACCTTCAGAGAGGAGGGAAGGGGTAAAGTTTGGGAGGGGGACATGAAGAAGGCTCCGGGGGGTTGGAAGCTGTATTTGTTGACCTGGGTATTGATTACACATGTGGTTCCCTTTTTTAATTCCTCAAGTAAGACTCTTAGGATTTGTGTACTTTTCCATATGCATGTTATGTTTCAAAAAAAGTTTATTTAAAAAGAATACTTAGGAAAGTTTTTGGCAATTTATATTGGTTGGGATGTTTTTTCTAAGGTTTATATGCTATTTGGAAAATTTGCAAAGGAATCCTCCTAAAAATGCTAAAATGTTGGCAAAACAGAAAATGACAAGAGTTCAAAGGAAATCAGTGTAAATGGGAAAACGCCCAGATGCAGTTCTGACATTTTAGATATATTCACAAGAATAATATATTCATGAATATATTCATAAGAATATTACATTTGCAACCACATTCATCTTGACTACATTTGGTGAATGTATTTATAATAAGAATCGGTAAATGTGGTGTATTCAGCAACAAATATATTCATAAGAAGAACATATTCAAGAATTATAAGTTCATGAATATATTCATAGAAGAACTGGAAAATTTGTCAAATTTGGTGAACTGGCTTTTGGCAAATGGACTCAGAGCCCTTGCTGGGGTTAGGAGGGCAGGTGTCAACAGCTCATCACCTAGCTGGGATACGCTAAATCTTAGCTCTTCCAGGAATACTTCCTGGGAGAACCGGAAGGAAGAATAAGAATCCCATCTTTGCACACTCCTCTTTTCTCCACCTACAGTCACACACACTGATCTGATTCTATAATACACAACTTCAGGCATCTCTTTCCTATCTAGCTCTTAGAGGAAAGAGACCTGTGTCTGGTCTATACAAGGACAGCAGCCATTGCTATACAGAGCAATTATTATAGAGCAGAGCGGTAGAAGAGTAGCTTTCCGCAGCAGATCTTGCTATCCCAAACACATCTTACTTGGCTTAGCTTGATATCAAAGGGAGACTCTTTCCTGAGTATCCACTGACTTTTTTTTTTTTTTTCCTTTTTTGAGACAGAGTCTTGCTCTGTCACCCAAGCTGGAGTGCAGTGGTGCCACGTCGGCTCACTGAAAGCTCCGCCTCCTGGGTTCATGCCATTCTCCTGCCTCAGCCTCCCCGGTAGCTGGGACTACAGGCACCCACCACCATGCCCGGCTAATTTTTTTTGTATTTTTTAGTAGTGACGGGGTTTCACCGTATTAGCCAGAGTGGTCTCGATCTCCTGACCTTATGATCCGCCCACCTCAGCCTCCCAAAGTGCTGGGATTACAAGTGTGAGCCACCGCACCCAGCCTCCACTGACTAATTCTTAGGCTCCTGGGAGCAGGAAACTGTGTGAGATTAAACCTTTCTGGTGGCTAAGCTACTCTGGTTCTGAATCTCCAAATGGCAATTGCTCATGTTTGTTCCACTGACCCAAGATATACAAATAGTTGTGCACACAGGTCTTGCGCTGAACCCCTTATTTGTGCTGCATGCTCCAAAGGCAGTCTGCAGCAGGATGAAAGAAAGCTGTGAAGAAGATAAGGATTCACCCATCACCAGGGCAGGAGATATGGCCAGACCTTGGAAATGGAGAGTCACTGCTGTTATCTATGCTTACCACCTGTAGGTCCCTTGCTGTGTGTGTGTATGCGTGTGTGTGTGTGTAGTGTGAGGGGCAACGAGATCTGATTACAAAAAGTGTCTGCCTTAACTCTACATGTTCCACCCTATCTAAAAACTCTCCCTGAAGCATCTCAATGGATTTCAGGAAGGGCTACTCTCTGGACTGGGCATCTCAGGGAGTACTGACTGGCCCTGGTGTCCAGCAGGGGGTGCCCATGCTCTGTTCTGCCCCCAGCCTGGTAACCTCAACATCCTGGTAACAGGCTTTCTTGCTCCACTCTTCCGACCCTGTCCTCTCCACAGATGAGCCTCCCAGCCTCTCCTGCTTATTGCCTCCTGGGTCCACATGTCTGCCCACCATCCTGACCTCCTGCCTCTCCCAACAACTCCACACCCCTCCCTACTCTGCCATCAGCACAGGCAGCCCCTGGGAAGTACTAGAGGACAAGAGGGAAGGGACTGATTTTGAAGATCAGCCATCTGCATTCCTACCCTGGTTCCACCACTCACCAGTGTCATAGCCTCGGGACATTAACATAGCCCCACTTTAGAGAGGAGAGAATGGAAGCACACGGAAGTTAATAATAGCACCCACCCGTGGGATTCCTGTGATGACCAAATGAGGACCAACCAAGCAGAGTGCTTCACACAGTGCTTGGCGCGTGGTTCTCATTGAACTACAAATTTCTCATCTGGAAATGGCCTGTGTTGGAGGTGTTCCCTGACTCAGAAAATCAGATGCCTCTAGAAATCAGCTTGTGCAGTTTCCTACTTTCTGAATGGCTCACACTTAAACTCACGTGCCCAGAAGTCTTCTATGAGCCTAGTACCTCTCAAGTAGGGTAAAGACCGATGAGCTCAGTCCCAGCCAGGCATTGTTGTAGGTCTGGCTATTATTATCTTTTCTACCTTTCCACCCCATGCTGGGGCAGATGTCAATAGACGCCCCACCTTGGAGAGCTTGCATGCTGAGGCATAAGGAACATGTCACAAGGTTGGTGCATGTGCTAATATAAGAAAGTGCACATTTTTATAATCATTTTACATTTTGTCTTTGAGGTTTTGCTTTTGCTTTGGGGTTGAGAATAAGAAAGGGGTTTCCCTCTGCCCCTGTTCACTGGCTCCCACCCACCCTCCCTTTCTCAGATGCCTCTCCACTCTAAGCCTCCTGCAACCCTCAGCCCTACCTTCCACTTTGGGCTTTGCCTCAGCCAGCCGCTCCTGGAATTTCTTCTTGAAGAAGAGGGCTTGCAGTCGCTGCTGGTAGTGGTCAATCCTGTAGACAAGGTGAGCCATGTCTTGAGGTATCCCACCCCTACCCAGGCCAGCCCCAGCTCCAGGAGCCAGCTCCAGCCTCCTCTCGAGCCTGCCCACCTCCGTCCCCTTCCTCTTGGCAGAACCCCACCTGCCCCAATCCCAGCCCCACCTGCCAAAACCCCACCTGCTCGAATCCCCGCCATGCCCACGGTCCCAACCTGCTCATTTCATAGAGGAAGCGGTCAGCGCGGGCCATCCGCTCGATCTCATGCTTGTGCTCCTCCAGGAGGTCAATGTCGCTCTTCTCCGGGATGAACTTGAGGAGCTGCAAAGAGCAGGCGCAAGTCACACAAGCAACTGGTGAGCAGCAGACATGGGGTGCGGGGTGTGAGAAGCTGTACTGACTCAGGTCAAGATGGGGAGGGTGCCTTGAAAAAGAGAGACACCCTCGTGTGGACAGATTTGTTTCATCTGCCTGAAGGGGATGACAGGGCACCCAGCTCTGAAATTCTTTTTTCTTTTTTAAAATTCAGATGTAACTGATATACAGTATTTCTTTCTTTTTTTTAAAGATAGGGTCTCACTCTGTCCCTCAGGCTAGAATGCAGTGGTATAATCATAGCTCACTGTAGCCATGACCTGCTGGGCTCAAGCAGTCCTCCCACCTCAGGTCCTGAGTACCTGGGAATATAGGCGTGCAGCACATACTGGGTTAATTTTTTTTTATTTTTTATTTTGTAAAGACAGGATCTCACTCTGTAGCCCTGGCTGGTCTTCACCTCGTGAGCTCAAGCGATCGTCTCACTTCAGCCTCCAAAAGTGCTGAGATTACAGGTAGGAGACACCACGTCTGGCCTAAAGTACCCTATTCTTCAATGTACAGCTCAATGGTTTGTCTTTCCTTTTAAACAAACTTGAGGTATAATTTACATAAAATAAAATGCACCCATTTTAAATGTGCAGTTCAGTGATTTTTGTCAAATCTCCATCCATTGAATCATCATTCAGATTAAGATAGAGAACATTTCCATCCCCCAGGAAAGTGATTTTGCATCACTTCAGTAAGCTGTTCAAGTGAATATAGGCTCTCAGCTGAATTCTAGGACGTTAACCAGATTTGTCTGTCCTTGAACTCATGCTGTATGCTCTCTTTTATGTCTGGCTTCTCCCCAGCATAATGCCTAAGGTTCATCCATGTCATGGTTGTTTGTTTATTGCTGAGGATTCTACTGTATGAATATACCACAGTCTACTTATTCACTTTCCTATTGATGGACAGTTGGGTTGTTCACAGTTTGGGGGATTTATAAATAAAGTTGCTATAAATAGAGTTGGCCCCTGAACAACACAGGGTTGAACTATGCAGGACCACTTGTATGTGGATTTTCTTCCGCCTCTGCCGTCCCTGAGACAGCAAGACCAACCACTCCTATTCCTCCTCCTCAGCCTGACGACAATGAGGATGAAGACCTTTACGATGATCCACCTCCACCAAATGAACAATATATGTATTTTCTCCTTTTAATGATTTTCTTTTCTTCTTCTTCTTTTCTTTTCTTTTTTTTTTTTTTTTG